TACTGAGTATTTGACAGATACTGAGTATTTGGCAGATACTGAGTATTTGGCAGGAAAGATAAGTTTAAGTTTAAAGTTTATTTGGCAGATGCTGAGTATTTGGGAGATACTTTGAAACCAGTGTCTCTTCTGTCACTCTGCTCCGTCTTGATTGATTGATTATCAATCATATTATCTCCAGTCGTTGGTTTGGTGCTGGACTGAAGATGAAGAGTCTCCAGGTTCTGGATTATCACTGCAGAAGGTGTTTTATTTTGAAAGAATACCTGGTTCCTGTCAGGTCAGGGTGCCCCGCCAAAATAAAGGTCTTTGAGGAGCTTCATTAAAAAGAGGAAACAGACAAGCAGCTGACGGTCAGCTGACGGTCACCTGACGGTCACTCTGTGCTGTTAGAGGGCCGTTATATTTGATTTCATTCACGTCGTGTCATTTAGTTTTGATCCGGTCAGAATATCGTGTTGTTAATCTGTGTCGTTAAGAAGTACTGAGAACTGGGGGGGTGTAGTGAAGTACTGGGGGGTGTAGTGAAGTACTGGGGGGGTGTGGTGAAGTACTGGGGGTGTAGTGAAGTACTGGGGGGGGCCTAGTGAAGTACGTTCTTTTCAAAGCGCTCCATCTTTGACTCCTTTGATCCTGTCCGTGGTCAAACGGTGATAAATGCCTTTGAACCAGATCTGAAGGTGTGGCTTTGTTCAAGTAACAACTTTATTTACGTCAAAAATCTCCGTCTGGTCACGTCTGCCTTTGGAAAAGCCCCCGGTCTGTGTGTCTTCAGGGAACAACTTTACTGTCTCTCTCACCCCGGGACATTTACAGCTCTTGATTTTCTCCCCCGACTCTTGGAGCCGGATTAAAGCGGTCGTCTCCGCTGGGCCGTTTCAACGCCAAGTTGAACACTGAAAATGTGGGAGTGATGTGGGAGCAAGAAGGAATGTGGAGGAGTTCCAGTGCTCACTGTTCAATGGTCCTGACTCCCCCCCCCGACTTTAGTTACTTTAGCACTGAGCGCTACGTTAAGGTCCTGGTGTTAATTTACTTTCTGTCTAATTTCCTAAGATTCTGTAGAACGAGTGTCAAACTCAAGGCTCGGGGTCTAAATGGGACCGGCCGGAGTTTAAACCTTTAAGTCTTTGCTGCCTCACTGTTTATATTGACCATAAATATTAGCTTCAACGATGTGTTTCATAACGTTAAGAGTGTGTGTTCAGGGAGCAGCGTCACCTCATCAACGTCAGCCCAAACCTGACTCCCTGTGGTCGTTGTATTTATGGCAGATATTTTACTCTGGGAAAAATCTCCAACACCAAACAAACTTCACTCAGTGTGAAACCTGGGCCTGTTTAGTTGAACACAACACTGATGATTTGGCAGGAATTGAAGAAAGAGTCTCGTCCTTTTTTCAGTTTTTACGGCATCATTTACTGTCGTAGCAGTGAAGAAATACATAATATTATTCACAGTAAATCAGTCAACGTTTTCAGACCAATGAAGTGTTTTGTTGATCATGATCAGGTACTAAACCAGCAGAGACCGATGTCTGTCGTTCACCTCTCTCACCACCAGGGTGCGATGTAGAGCTCCACGTACACCAACTCTCACACTTGTCTTGAGATTTTCCCTCTGAATCAGTTTCGTCTCGTGTCGTCCTACAGCTAACGTTAGCACCAGAGCTAATCATCTCGGTGAAATGCATTGTGGGATTATCCTCTTTTTCAATTATACGACGTTGTTTCCGTGCTTTATCTCGCCGCTGCTCATGTGGAGTAGAAGAGTGCGTCGTTAACACCGTGGCGTCTGTCAATCATGTCCTGATGGAGACCGCAGACTCCGCCCACTCCGCCATGTGTTCTTTTATAGGAGGAGTATTTATGGATGACACATGCTTGTTGAAATAAATCTAGAACGTAGTACCGACGTTTCTGTCCTTATTGTGGTGCCTTTGAAGCGGCCACATCAATGGCGCTAACAGGAAACGCCCTCCTCCGTGTCGCAGCTGTAAAAACCCGTGTGTCGTCGGACCGGGTCAGAACAACGGCACGTCGGATGTCACCGCCTGTGATTGGAGGACTGAAAAAAGGTGTCAATAACAGTGTCGTCGGCGTACGGACAAAGACACCTCGGACATGATGGGGTTAAACCAGTGGTTCCTAAGGGGGGGGGCGCGGCCCTCCGACGGAGCGCTGATCAATTAACAACAACAAGGAGGAATTGTTTGGTCTTCATGAGCGGCCCAGTCTGTAGTACACATCTTTGACCAGTAGGTCAGCTGGAGGTCAACACTGGTGCTGTCTGATTGTACAGGATAGAGTACTGTAACTGTGGGGAGGGGTCAGTGGGGGGGGGTCAGGAGGGTGACAGATGGTCATGCAAGTGATGGAGGAAAGATTTTATGTCAGGACGGGGGCGGAGCCTGTGTGTGTGTGTGTGTGTGTGTGTGTAGGATTAGTGATTGTACATTGTTGTACATGTTGACTGTGTCCAGAACCTGACTGTCAGTCGTACAGTACGGGGGTCTGTAGACCTGACAGGACAGGACTGACCTTTGACCCTAACCTGGGGTTAACTCGATGCTCCTCTGACGTCGGGGAATTGAACCTCCTCCAGCTCACCGTCATGAAGTGGTTTGCCTCCATCCGCTGGGTTTTGCCCGGGGGCAGCCGTAGTGCCCCCGTCTCTCCCGTCTCCAGCCCTGTTGCCCCCTCCAGGGCAGATCTGCAGGAGAAGCAGGTGAGCTGCAGCTTTGTGACTTTGTGGTCGTGGTTCTTCCTCCACTGTCGCCCAGTCAGTCCAGGGAACAGGGCTTTGACTTCTGCCTAGCAACAGTCGTCATCATCATGACCTCACTGGGATTTAATCAGAGCAGAAACAACGTTGTTCGAATTGAGACCTGGTTTTTGGTCGGGTTTCGAACCCACAGTCACTGATCCAGTTTAGATATTGGATGTATTTATTGACTGCAGTATAATGGAGCCCATACAGTACTGTAGAGTACTGTAGAGTACTGTAAAGTACTGATACAGTACTATAGAGTACTGATACAGTACTGTAGAGTACTGATACAGTACTGATACAGTACTGATACTCTAGATATTGTGATACTTCAGTGTATTGATATTTACTACCACTGTGTGGCGTTCAGGTTCATTGGTCAGACTCTGCTCTGACCCTGTATCAGAGGAGTCTTTGACTCCTCGTCTGCTGTGACTCACATCAAACCAAATCTCTGACTCCTTTAATCCCGGCGTGACGTTGGCTCTCAGCCGTCCTCACTTGTCATGAAAACGTTCCGACTTATCGTCCAGTGATTACTTCCTGGTCTCCAGAGCAGACGCCCCCCCCCTCCCTGCCCCCCCGCCCTG